TAATATTTAAATAAAAGGACATTTTGGGAGAATTAATATTTAAATAAAAGGACATTTTGGTCCAATTATCAACTCTTTTACCCCCTTCAGATAGTTGAGGGGGATTTTTTGGTAAAAAATTAGATAGGGGGGATTTATTGAAAAAATGATACAAGTCGAGGGGGGTTCTTTGGTAAAAAAATAGATAAAGGGGGTTTACTAGAAAATGTTACAAGTCGAAGGGGGTTTTCTGTACTTTGCCCTTTAAAAAATAACTAAAATTGAATATTTGGTCTCTATTGAGGTTAATTTTTTTTTATATGTTATGCTCCATATGAAAATGAAAAATTTTAAAAATTTTTTTGCAAATAACCTGAATATTTTATATAAAATAAAATAAAATAAGATTGTTGTAGTAGATTTTTAGATTGTCTATTTCTCTTTTGTTATGAAGTTTTATTAAACAAATCTTATATTTTTGGAATCCGTGTTTTATAAGTTTTCCGTACATATATTATTTACAATATTTGGATGTACGGTTTGTGATATATGAATTTTTGAATTTCAAAAAAATTAAGATTTAAATAAAAAGGCATTTTAGTCCAAATATAAACTCATTTACCCCCTTAGATAGTTGAGGGGGGTTCTTTGGTAAAAAATTAGATGAGGGGTTTACTAGAAAAGGTTACAAATCGAGGGGAGTTTTCTGTACTTTGTCTTATATATATATATATATATATATATATATATATGTAGAGGACTGCTAGCTGCAGTCTCACATGCAACTGTAGAAGGCAATCGTGCCTTTGAGTGGTTGAAAAACCAATTATAAAAATGTATAATTAATGCATCTTTCTTATTTTCATTGAACTTTAAAATTTAACATTTTAGGACCAAATTAACCTTTACCACCTAACATTTTCCTCTCCTGCTATATGATTTTCCTTCTTTCCATTTGTTACATATATATTACTTTCATTCTTTATTTTATTTTTTTTAATGATTTTTAAGAGTTTATATATGTGTGCTTGATATTATGTGAACGAAAAAAAAAAAAAAAAACTCATGTGAATAGATTATTTTCTTTCTTTTTCTTTTTTTCAATTCTTTCCTTTCCTTTGTTTATATACATATATAGTTAACCATATATGAATTATGAAACCATTCTTTTTTTCGTTTAAACATCAACTAAAACTCAAATTCTATAATTTTAATTCAATTAAAACTCAATCTCATAATATTACTTCAATTAAAACTAAATAATGATAAAAATTAAAGATTCCATCAATTGAGCGCGCGTACCGTTCCTACTGCAATCGAGATAAGGAAGCGAGTTCTGGAGTTAGAGCTTGACTCAGCCTTGACGAGTTATGAAAAGGTAAGATGAAGGGAGAGAGCCGGGGATGAAAAGTTGCCGACTTGGCTTGGTTCTTTCACATTCGGTTGACTGCTAAAGCAAAATGACAAATTCAACTATGACAAGGAATTAGAAGTTCCATCACACACATATATAAAAAGACAATTTTACAAAAAGGTAAATAATGATTGTTATATACATGTATGTATATATACAAAAGGCTAAAAAAAAAAAAAAAAAAGGTGAACTATATTAAACCCCCCTTTTCTATTTGTGTTTTTCACTAAACCCCCATTTTCTATTTTTTTTTTTTGTCAAAAAATCCCCCTCAACTATTAGAGGGGGTTGATTTAATTCTCAAATATATATATATATATATATATATATATATATATAAAGCAAATAAATTTCAAGAAAAAAAAAACCTAGATTTGTATTGAAGAAAAAAAATTAGGCATTATTTCTGGTAGTGTCCCTTTAATAAATCTATATAAAATGAAAATCGATAAAAACCAAATAAATGAATGCACAATATAATTATCAAATATATATATATAGCAAATAAATTTCAAGAAAAAAGAAAAAAAAAAAAATGTAACGACCCGAAAAGATGCCAAAATAAAAATCTATAAAAATTTCGGCATGACCTCCGCAGAAAATGTCCCTTAACAACCTGTAGAAATACAAAAAAATAAACGCAATGGCCTCACTGGGCCTTAAATCCAACTTATCATGTCCCAACGCACAATTCAGATATTATATTACATTCCCAAAATGGTTACATACATACAAAAGTTCCGTTCCTCCATCTCATCCGTTACTTCAACTTACGTACCTAAAATTTTAAAGTTTATAGCTTACAACGTTATATCAACTAAACTAAAGTTTCCCAAAATATTTAAGATTACATTTACAAAATATATATCAAAATTCTAATACAAAAGATAGCAAAAATAAAATAGATCCCCAAGCTCGTATAAACTTGTGGTGGATCATCGTCCGCCACCTCTTTTCCATATCTTAAAAAATGTTAAAAATAATTGGGTGAGCATAACCTCAATAGGAAGTGTCTAAAACACACTTCTTATGTTCCCGTGAATCCATACAATGAATAGATAAAAAGTGAACGGAATCATGCCATCGGGAAACGCACATTCTCAACCACAATAACAAGTATGTAACAAATATCAACCAATCACCAATTTACCACAATGTCATGAAGTGCAATGTTATGCAAATGTCACTCCCCATTTCCGAAACAATTTCGTTTCAACAACCAAACTGTTAGTGCAATCCGACCTAAGGCACCTCCATAGCGTCACGAAATGAAGGTTGGTTAACTATCCACGACCACAAGGCACCTCCAAGGCGTCGCATTCGGCCTAGTTAACTCAACTACATTCCCTTCTAGACTACACCAACATCACGGACCACTAGGCGCTTCCTAGGCGTCCGGTTTTCGCAACACTTTTAGAAAATATTTTCTCCAAAACAATTTTATTTGTTCTAACAAATATTTTTCCCCCTTTCTCTTTCCCAATGGATGCATGAATGTTTCATACTTCAAATCATTAATTTAACTATATGTTTTTACACATTTCCATTTACATCATCATCACAATTTAATGAAAATTTTTAAACATTCATTTCCTTTATTTATTTATTTATTTATTTAGAACCATAGCACCCATTTTTCTTCAAGATAATAAATAAATAAATAATCATGGAACATACAACACATCAAACACTAAGTATGCTCATTTACCATAATGAAAATAGACATGTATATAAACTCAAATAACACATGGAACACAATTATCATTGTAATTACACAGAACTATAACAACAACAAGCTAAGTAATTATAATTTAATATGCTTAGGATCAAATTTAAGAGGAAAAATTCACCAAAGGCCAAGAAATTGTAGATTAGAACACCCCTACCTCAAATTGATGAAAACCCCCAATTTGAGCCCAAGAACCATAGAATTTTGAACTCCCTAGAGTGCACCAAATGATGATTGGCTCCTATCAAATTAACGGCCTCGAAGAGCTCAACAACTTTGCTTCACAATGTTCTACCAAATTCCCAAAGGAAAAAGCAAGATCAAGGTTTGAAGTTGCAAAAAGAAAAAGAAAAAAAAATGGAAACTGCCGAGAGCAGTCTGGTTGCAGCAAGAGAGAGAGAGAAACGTGGACTCGTGTAATGGCCTTACGTGTGTTTATAACATGGGTGGGGCCCACTTGCTTTATTTCTTTTAACATTTATTTTATATATATATATATATATATATATATATCACATCATTACAAAAAAAACCTAGATTTATATTGGTTTGAAGGCTAGATGGAAATGAAAATATATTTAAATAATATTTAATAATACATATTATATATACCATTATATTATGATACAAATTATATATAATATTATAATGATGGGTAAATAAAAGAAGTTGAAGAAGAAGAAGAGTATATGTTGTTGCAATGGTTTTTTTTTTTTTTTTTTTTTTTTTTCCAATATAAATATAGGTTTTTTTTCCTTGAAATTTAATGTAGTTCACAAAAAAAAAAAAAAAAAAAAAAAATTTGTAAGAATTTTAAAGGCTAATTTAAAATGTTAAGTTTTAAAGTTTCATTAAAATAAGAAAGTTGTATTAATTATATCTTTTATAACTGATTTTTCAATCAATTAGAGGTGTCCTTCTATATATATATATATATATATATATATATATAATATATCAAAAATTTGTTCATTTGTGAAAACTTCAGGGACATCCAGACAGACCTCTACGCCGGGACCATTTCTTCTGAAAGCTCCAAAGCTTAAAATAAAATAAATAAAGACTCTAATTGACTTCAGAAATGTACCATACAGCAGGACATCGTCCATAGTTTCTAGGAAAATGGTAGAAATTAGCAACATAATTAGCTTAAAAATAAAATAAAATAAACCTTAATTTACCAAAGGTTGTGGACGGTCACAATATTTACATACATCAAACATGGTCCCATTGTTTGATGTCTACATTTTTAAGAAGTTGGGATATTTTAAAAAAAAAAAAAAAAAAAAAATGAACAATATAAAAGTTTTTTTTTTTTTTTTTTTTTAACTTTTTTTTTTTATGCATAAATTGTTCATGAGGGTAGATTAGTTTAATTTATTAAATTGTAAAGTTAAAATAATCTCTTAAACGGTCAAAAGGTAATTTGGTTAATTTTTTATATAAATGGGTGTCTTTGTCCATTTTTGAACCTTTAGGGGGTGTCTTTATCTAAAAAAAGATAAGTATTCTTTTACCAAATCTTAAGCGGTGTGACTGTACTTTACCCTAGTTAAAAACAAAAGCTTAAAAAATTAAGTTCCGAAAAGCCATTCTCAATTTTGGGCCGCAGTACTAAATGGTTTGTCTACCCTTTGAATTTTCTTTACTTGAATTTTCTGAGTCTTCTTTTGATTGACTTGTGAAAGTGACATGCTCACATTCTCCACAGCTTCAAAAATGGTTCACGAACTGACTTGAGAAATGCAGCAACACCAATCCCATATTCCTAGTAGCTTCCAGGAATATATATAATAGCATTCACAGGAGTAACAACTACAACCCAAGATCTTGCTTTGCCCACAAAGGGAAAAAAGAAAAAGAAAAAGAAAAAAATAAATGTCGATTTGCGTGGATTACTACTATCCAATGTTGGAAAGGCACCTCCTGTCTTGCAGCAACTACAGTTATATAAGCGCATCCTGCTGCTCCGTGATGATCAAGGAGAAGGAAGAGGAACATCGATTGGAATCACCAATGCCGTGGATCGGCATCTATGCTGCAGCAGCATCTCTAGTCTGCTCCCTTGCAATGGTTGCTGACATCTTCCACGGGTTTCGCCACAGAAAACTGTGGTTTCCATGCAAATTTTTCACTCTCAATGCTGCTTCGTTGACATTACTAGCTGTATCAATGAAGCTGCCAGTGGATCTGAGTACCACTATGCCAGGCGAGTTGGATCAGCTGGCCAAACTTACCAGCACCACCCTGATGTCTACAGTGATAGGTAATTTTATGCCATCCATAGGAGCTATGGATGACACAGAAATTTTCATGAACATAACAGCCTTGACTATTCTCGTGATCACTGTTTTTGTTAATATTTGCATCCAATTAAATACTCAACTAATAAATCCTTCATTCGAGATAGAACACATTGCAGCTATATCTTTCATGCTTGTTTTGCTTGTACTGTTGAGTTTCTCAGCTTTGACGGTTTCCACCACTAAAAAGTGTCTGCAACTGAAGTATGATGATATACACAAAACAATTTCGAGTGAAGAACCACAAGAAACCGAAAAGTTCACAATTGAAAAATTGAAAGTAAATGTTGAAAAATATTGGATGATAGCAAAATCTAGTAGCCCTCAGTTTGTTGTGGCTCGTTCAGTTACCTGTTATGCTTCAGGGACAATTTGTTTCTTGGCTGCATTCACTTTGGCAGAAGCGCACCTCAGAATATTTATTCGCGACGATCACTACTATATTAATCCAAGCAACGTTAGATCAAATTATAGGTGGTCAGCCTTTGTCGTTCTTGTGATTCAATCTTTTGGTGTGGTAGGAGGTACAATTGCCCCGACATTTAGATGGTTCACCGCCATAAGCTTAAGGTGCAAAGAGGAAAGAGTGAAGAGCTACAAAACTGAGTTGAAAACAGAAAATTATTGGATCGAAAGGCTACTAGAGTGGAAAGAGAGCCCTTTAGCTTTACGAGTCGGGAGCCAAAAATTCAGAAAACTTGTTCACAACACAAAAAATCTAATTCTGGACTTCTGTATAGCAGTCCAGGTTGTGATTGTCTTGGCTAGCAAATTAGTTGTGATCGTCTTGGCTAGCATATTATTTGTGCTTATCTATTTGATCTTAATAAGCCCATTCATGTTATTTTGGAACTTGTACAACGAGTTTATTGAGAAGATCATATCTAAACATACTGCCTCAACCAATCACACGAGATCAGAATCAGGGCCTGGTACAGAGCTAGATCTCAGTCCTTATGTTTTGTATCTCGAAGGTGAGGAGGAACTGCCTTTACAGATTATGAAGAACAATAGGGATGCTACCAATCATTTTATCCAGGAGGGTAAAAAGCGGCAGCCAAAATATTTGAAAGAGCTTTTAGATCAATCTACAACGTTCACTGGGGTGACAAAGTTTGACAGTCACCAAGTTCCATCTTTGGCTTCTGAAGAACCTTCCAATTGTTGGTCTCTTCCTGTGGTTACTCTTACAAGTATAGCCATTGCACTTCCAAACATTGAAAAACACAAGGCGAAGTGGTTGCTCAGAAGTGTGAGTGAAGGCCTCTTGTATGCCAACCTTGTAGAGAAATTCTTGAATGCCAAAAGTGATATGGTAAGCATCAGAAATGCAGTAGACACGGTGTGGTTAGGAGTTGATCTTTTTCACAGGTGGCTAGATGAAGATCTCCAGAAAATCTCTCTTGAAGGAAACAACTCAACGGAGACTCTTGAGAAACTTGCTGACATAGCTAAAAACAGTGTCATCGAGTTCAAGGCAAACACGAATGGAGATCGGAAGGAGAACCCTCAAAATTGGCCCATCAAGGTTATTGCTGCAAATTCAATGTACAGAATTAGCCGAACCGTGCTAGAGAACCACCGAGGCAGCAATGACCAGACTGATGAGACACTGTTCGAGCAATTATGTATTATGATTGCGGATATATTGGGTGCTTGTCTCACCAACTTACCGCGTGTCATAATTATGAAATGTTTTTGCAGTGCCATAGAAGAGAGGGAGAAGAGTGTCCAACATGCTGCTCAACTTCTAGGTGAAACTGAAGAGATTTTGAAAATCCTTCAACAGCGCGAGCTTCCCAATTTGAACCCTGATAAAGTGGCTTATATTGATGAGTGGCACGCATTAATCAAGCAAGAAAATCCCCTGGCTTTCACTACTTTAATCAATGACGGAACATCTTCTTCTGGCTCTGGTGAATTGCATATAGCTATTGAATAGAAGGCATACTTGAGAAAAAACTGGCATATTATAATATGAATTCTCAGTTTCGATTTTGTAAAAGCCTTATGATATATATATGTAGTATTATATGGGAAACAGTGTTTAGATATCATTTGAATTTGCTGCATCATCATATAACAACTATTGAATTTATGCATTTTTTTTCCCAAAGGAAGAGGCATATATGTATATCCGACTGTAGCAGTCCTGAATGTTTGAACATTAGCATTCAAGCCATAGGAACAAAATGATGGAATTAATCGTATCACAGAAAGCGACATACCCTCGAAATAATTGAAATAAGACCTAGATACAAATAAACCAAGGAAGCTTATCGTCTAATAATATAACTAATTCAGAGATATGTTTTCTGCAGATTCAATAATTTAGAAAACAAATGATTAGATATATATATATATATATATATATAAAGGATTTATTTGTCTTCTATTAAGAAAAGTAGGACTTAGAAGTAATTTTCCCATACAAAATTGACAATAATTGGGAGTCAGTGTTGATCAGAAAAACATATTTTCCTTTCATATCAACACTACAACTTTTACAAAGCAAAAAAAGGAGGGGGAGGGTTGTCTGCTAAATAATTGATCAAATACAGTACTCATATATATACATCCAGATGAGACAAGTCATAGTGGAAGACTCCTTTGCTTGACTAATCAATGTGACAGTCATGGCAGAAATTGTTCATCCAGTAATTAGAATTTTGGTCTACGTCTGCTTGACTCATGAATGTGACCCTCATAACAGAAATTGTTCATCACAAATAGCAGAATCAACAACTACACCGAGGCTCTTTGCGTTTCATCCAAAGAAAATAATTGTCAAAAATCAAAAACCAGGAGAGGAAGAACATGTTGTCCTGCAGCTGGACACAACCCTACTATTACGAAGAACTAGCCAAAGCACCGATGGTATGGGTCGGGGTCTATGTTGCAGTAGCATCTTTAGTCTGCTCCATAGCTATGGCTGCGGACGCCTTCCATGGGTTCCGCCACAAAAAACTGTGGTTTCCATGCAAATTTTTCTCTCTCAATGCTGCTTCTCTGACAATATTAGCTGTAGCAATGAAACTGGCTGTGGATCTAAGCACAAACATGCCACGCAAAAAGGATCAGCTGGCAAAACTCAGCAGCACCGCCTTGATGTCTACAGCAATAGGTAATTTTATGCCATCTTTAGGAACCATGGATGACACAGAAATCCTAATGAACATGACAGCCTTGGCTATTCTGGTAACCACCATCCTTGCAAATGTCTGCATCCAATTAGGCACTGGCCTAATAAATAGAAATCTTATTGTAGAACATATTGCAGTTATGTTTTTCATGTTTGTTTCGCTTGTCATATTGAGTTTCTCAGCCTTGACAGTTTCAACCACTAAAAAACATTTACAGCTGAAGTATAGTGATTTACATAAAATCACTTCAACTGAAGAATCGGTGGGAATTGGAATGGCCACCACCCAAAAACTAAAAGATTATGTGAAAAAGTATTGGATGATGGCTGAAACAGGTAGCCCTCAATTTGTGATGGCGCGTTCTGTGAACTGCTCTGCTTTAGGGGCAATATGTTCTCTGACTACTGTCATTTTATTAGAAGCGGAGCTGAGGACGTACTTTACAGACAGATGTTTTTACAGCGTTCCCTACGAACAATTTTATGATCAGTATGTTATGACTCGATTCCGATTATAAGTGGTCAGTTTTGTTCATTCTTGTGATTCAGACTATCGGGGTGGTAGTAGGTACAACTGGGCCAGTTTTTAGATGGTTCATTGCCACAATATTCAAGTGCTCAGTAAAAAAAGGCAAGAGCAGCAAAACTGAGTGGAAGACGGAGTATTACTGGATCAGAATGCTGGTAGGGTGGCGAGAGAGACCCTTGGCTTTACGCTTCCGGAGCCAAAATTGCAGAAAACTTGTTCACAGCACAAAGAATCGAATTCTGAGCTTCTGTATTGGAGTTCAGATTGTGATCGTCACGGCTGGCAAATTAGTTTTGCTCATCTCCAGTTTCCTACTAAGCCCGTTGTTGTCATGTTTCCACTGCTGCAAGGTCTTAAAGCAGAAGCTCCTGTCTAAATCTAATGCCTCAAGCAATCACACAGGATCAGAATTGGAACCTGGTACCCAACTGGATCTTAGCCGTTTTGTTCTGTATCTTGACGGTGAGGCGGAACTGCCCCCACAGATCATGAACAACATCAGTAATGCTACAGATCATTTGATTCAGATAGGTAAAAAGCAGCAGCCTAAATATCTTAAAGAGCTTTTAGGGAAATCTACTGGTTTCGAAGGAGTGGCAAAGTTTGATGTTGACCAAATTCCATCTCTGAATTTTAAAGAACCACCCAACTCTTGGACTCTGCCTTTGGTTACACTAACAAGCATCGCCATTGCACTTCCTAACATTGAAAATCAGAAGATGAAGCAGTTGCACAGAAGCATAAGTGAAGGCCTCTTGTATGTCAGCCTTGTAGAAAAAATCCTTGATTCCAAAGCTGACTTGGTAAACATTAGAAAGAAAGCAGAGAGAGTGTGGGAAGGAGTTGATCTCTTCCGCAAGTGGCTTGATAAAGATCTCCGAAATATCGCTGTTGAAGGAAAAACCTCAAAGAAGACTCTGGAGAGACTTGTTAACATAGCTAAAACTATTGTCATGGAATATAAGGCAGGGATGAATGGGCAGGAGAACCCATTGAACTGGCCCATGGAGGTTATTGCTGCTAATTCAATGTACAGAATCAGCCAAACTTTGCTGCTAGACCATGAAGGCAGCGAATACCAGATGGATCATGAAACACTGTTTGAGCAATTATCTGTTATGGTCGTGGATATATTGGGTGCTTGTCTTACCAACTTACCGCATGTTATAACTACGGAATGCTTTCGCAGTGCCATAGAAGAGAGGGAGAAAAGTGTCAAACATGCAGCTCGTCTTCTTGGTGAAACTGAAGAGATTCTCGATATCCTTCAACAGCGTGAACTCCCTAGTCTGAATCCTGATCAAGCGGCTAATATCAATGAGTGGCATGCTTCGATGAAGAAAGAAGATCCCTTGGCCTTTACTTCTTCATTCAACAATGGTGCATCTTCTTTTGGTTCTAGTAAGTCTATTGAGTAGGAGATCGGCATGATAAAATACAGACACATAATGCTATCACTGTCGGGTGTGTACTCATCTGTGAGTTTTCTATATTTAAATATTGTATGAACTCTCTGCATTTGAATGTGATCTTGAGCAGGTAGATTTATTCTATTCATATACAACACATTCATTGTTTGTTTAGATAGCATTTGAATTTGCTGGATTCACAGGTAGCCCTTTTTCTTATGGTGCTAATGTAGATTTATGCTATTCATAAACAGCACATTCATTGTTTTTTTAGATATCATAGGTAGCACTTTTCATGAATGCCAATCAAAATTTAGAAATCCTGAGCATGTAACCCTGAAAATCTTTAAAGCCAAATTTACCTCCATTTTAGTTCTACACTTGAGTTGTGGGGGAAGGAAAAATATGGGAATATGTATGATTATCGATCAGACAGAAGAAATCCCTTAATTGTTCCAAGCACTACAAATGAATTACAATATGTAGCATGACACTCTTGCCAAACACAGTGAGTATTGTGAAAACTTGCAATAGAACCCCACCCTATTGGCTTACAAAGTTAAAAAGTGTGAGAGTGTCAATTGATCAGGAAAAGAATGAATTCCAAAAGGGGAAAATCCAACGAGGAATGAATTGATAGCGATCAAACAAGACAATTTACTAGGGGTGGGCAAATAATCCGCGAATCCGATCCGATTCAATCCATGCTGATCGGATTGCTACACCCACGGCTCGGTGTTAAAAATATAAAATTGACAATCAAGGGGCAATTTACTCCAAATGTTAAAAATATAGAGATTTATATGCACTTAAAATTCAATAGGGGTGTTTCTTGCACATTTTTTGTATAACAAGGGGATTTTTTGCCCTTTACCTTTAAAAAATAAATATTTTTTGAAATATTTTTGAATTTTCAACATCTAATGATAAGTAATGTTCCTGTCACTTAAAAATTTAAGTGGCGCTTACCGTTTTCAAATTGCGAATAAGTCCTTAATCTGTTCATAATTAACTAATTAAGCATTGAATTGAGTTATCAAACAGCACCTTAGACTAGAATGATAATATTTGTTAGGAGTAAGTTATGATATTTTACTCAACACGAATCTAACAATTTATAAGTCATGACCCAGAAGTGAGTGTTTGGTACTCTTAATAAGGGGCACTTCTGGAGGTTTAACTAGAGGAATCCGAGTCTAATCCAAAAATTTGACAGTTTTTGGCAAAGATGACATGCCCTTAAACTAAACAGATGATTGAATACAATAACTAAATTGACCCAAAAACAGGACATGCATGCAAACAGAGCAGATTTATAGAAACAAAGGCAAATTAACCAAAATCAAAAACATATTACAAAAAACCAACTGCATGAGAACTTCCCATTGATCTGGTTTTAGATAATGTTGGCCAATTTCCATATATTTTGTAATTTGATACATAAAAATAAAAGTTATCATTTAGTAAAATGACATTTAGAGACTGTATTTACGACAAAAAATTAATTGAACCTAAAAAGTGCAAATAACAAGAATGTAACATTTAGGTACAATTATAAATTGAATGAGTATCATATACATGATTTTAGGAGAACTTGAACTTCAGAGGTACAATTAACGAGGTTCACAATTTATAAAATAATGGAAATAATAATAACAAACTAAAATGAAAGAACACAAAAATAGACATATATATATATATATATATATATATATATATTTTCGGAAGTACAAAAATAGAAATATTTGATAAAGGTAAGAAATTGACCTTTAAGATTGAGACGTGCACTGTCCTAAAATTCAAACTTCCTTCCCATGTGTAGGTAATGGGGGGAGTACCGACTCCAAAATACAAACCAAGTGCTCACAGGCTCCTCTCTTTGAGATGGAAGTTCCGACTCCGAAGTCCAAAATACAACCAGTGGTTGTAGGCCATGTCCTCTCTTCAGCACATTCAGACTTCTCATTGGTCATAACTCATAAACACATGAAATAACAGCAGATAAATGGATACGTACACACATATATATAGAATACAAAGTTGCTAGGGAAGTATATAAACTTTAGTCCTCTGAAAGATGGTGGAGGCTTTATATATGAAGTATTCATGTGTAACTAAAAAGGCTAACTCACTACACCAGACTCTCATGGATGCAGAGTTTGGATTGATAGATGTACGCAGCCTAATATCCGCATGCGATTTTATGGTTGAACAAATATCCGCCTTAAATACAATTTAAATAGTGAAAAAAATAGTCACAATAAATCACCATAAATATAATATAATTGAATTAGATTTTTATTAAAAAATTCCCAACAGATAGCACCCTTACTTTTAACTTTGATGTGAGCTATATGCATTACCATGACACCATTATCACCCTTTTTCTTTTCTTTTTTCTTTTTTAAGTTGGCAAGCATCAGAAAAGTATTTTTTCTCCCTATCAACACAAACTTTTAAAAAGACAAGGGGTCCTCTTTGATTTTTCATTAGTCTTCCTCTCATTGACTCATGAGTGTGAAATGCTCACATTCCCAATAGCTTTGTGGAAAAATAGCAGAAATCGTTCATACCTTTAATATTCCTTCTCAGAACCTTAACAATCAAAAAACTCTAATTGACTTGACAAATGCAAAACCAATCGCATTCCGGGTGGCTTCAAGGAAAAATGGTAGAAACCGTTAATCCACGACACTTAGTTCTATTTATAAATAGCAGTATCAGCACAATCAACACTACAACCCGATCTCTAGCCTTCTCAGAAAGAAGAACATCAACACGCCTTTCGTGCCCTATGAAATTAAGCAGGAATTACAAGAAATGAGAAACAAAGCACCCATGCCATGGGTCGGGATCTATGTTGCAGTAGCATCTCTATTCTGTTCCGTAGCAATGGCTGTGGATGCCTTCCTTGGGTTCCGCCACAATAAACTGTGGTTTCCATACAAATTTTTCACTCTCAATGCCGCTTCTCTGACAATATTAGCTATAGCAATGAAGCTGCCCATGGATCTAAGTACCAACATGCCAGGCAAAACGGATCAGTTGGCAAAACTTAGCAGCACCACTTTGATGTGTACAGCAATAGGTAATTTTATGCCTTCTTTAGGAACCATGGATGACAAAGAAATTCTAATGAACGTGACAGCCTTGGGTATTCTCGTAATCACCATTCTTGCAAATGTCTGCATCCAAATAGGCACCGGCCTATTAAGTAATTTTTTTATGATAGAACATATTGCAGTTATGTTTTCCATGCTTGTTTTGCTTGTAATTTTGAGTTTCTCAGCTTTGACAGTACCAACCACCAAGAAATATTTGCAACAGAAATATGGTGATTTACATAAAATCACTTCAACTGAAGAATTAGAGGAAATTGGAATGGTAACTGTCCAAAAATTGAAAGATTATGTGAAAAAATATTGGATGATGGCAGAAACAGGTTGTCCTCAATTTGTGATGGCGCGTTCTGTGACATGCTCCGCTTCAGCAGTAATATGTTCTCTGACTACTGTCATTTTAGCAGAAGCAGAGCTCAGGACATACTTGTTCACATATAATCCTTACAATCTCAATTCGGATTATAAGTGGTCAATCTTGTGATTCAAACTATCGGGGTGGGAGTAGGTACAATTGCCCTGTATTTAGATGGTTCATTGCCACAAAATCCAAGTGCTCAGCAAAAAGAGGCAAGAGCTACAAAACTGAGTGGAGAACAGAGAATTACTGGATTGAAAGGATGGTAGGTTGGAGAGAGAGCCCCTTGGCTTTACACATCCGGGGCAAAAAATCCAGAAAACTTGTTCATAACACAAAGAACCTAATTCTGAACTTCTGTATTAGAGTTCAGATTGTGATTGTAACAACTAGCAAATCAGTTCTGCTCATTCATGTTTCCGCTACTGCAAGGTCTTAAAGCAGAACATCCTGTCTGAATCTATTGCTTCAAGCAATCACCCCGGATCAGAATCGGAGCCTGGTACACAACTGGGTCATAGCTGTTTTGTTCTGTACCTTGACGGTGAGGAGGAAATGCCCCTACATATCATGAAGAACATCAGCAATGCTACAGATCATTTGATTCAGATAGGTAAAAAGCAGCCGCCTAAATATCTTAAAGAGCTTTTAGGAAAATCTACTGGTTTCAAGGGGGTGGCGAAGTTTGACAGCAACCAAATTCCATCTCTGGATTCTGAAGAACCTCCTAACTGTTGGTCTCTGCCTTTGGTTACACTAACATGCATCACCATGGCACTTCCCAACATTGAAAGCCAGAAGATGGAGCGGTTACAAAGAAGCATGAATGAAAGCCTCTCGTATGTCAGCCTTGTAGAAAAAATCCTTGATTCTAAAGCTGACTTGATAAACATCAGAAATGCAGCAAAGAGTGTGTGGTTAGGAGTTGATCTTTTCAGCAAGTGCCTAGATGAAGATCTCCAAAAAATCTCTCTTGAAGGAAAAACCTCAAAGGCGACTCTAGAGAGACTTGTTGACATAGCTAAAAATATTGTCATGGAATTCAAGGCAAACATGAATGGGAAGGAAAACCATTTGAACTGGCCCATCAAGGTTATTACTGCTAATTCAATGTACAGAATCAGCCAATCTTTGCTACTAGACCATGAAGGAAGCAAAGAACAGATGGATCATGAAATACTGTTCGAGCAATTATCTGTTATGATCGCGGATATCTTGGGTGCTTGCCTTACCAACTTACCGCGTGTTATAACTACGAAATGCTTTTGCAGTGCCTTAGAAGAAAGGGTGATAAGTGTCCAACATGCAGCTCATCTTCTTGGTGAAACTGAAGAGATTCTGGAAATACTTCAACAGCGTGAACTACCTAGTCTGAATCCTAATGAAGCAGTTTATATTGATGAGTGGAGGATTTCACTTTTTCATCCAGCACCAGCACATCTTCTTCTTGTCCTGGCGAGTATAATTTAGCTGTTGAGTAGCATAAGGAGGAGGCCAGCTTGAGAAAATACACGTAGCTAGATTATAGTATAATTGAACCATATGTACTTGTGTACAAGTTTTCTTAGTTTGGATATTGTGTGAATTCTCAGCATTTTAATATGAAAAAGCTATATTGGATACAGGTATTTCTCCTGTTATAGACATGTAATATTCATATGTATCATATGAATTTGTTGGATTCATTCATAGCCAATGTTCGTGCATGTCATAACTCAAATTTTAGTCTCCTGAGCCTGTGCTTTTTCCCAATAATCTTATTCTTAATCAACTGACCAATTTAATTTCCATTATCTCTCGACGCTTGAGTAATTTTTTTTTTCCTTATACATACACTTGTACACCCACTTTGTCTAAATGAGGACTTACCTTGACCATTTATACAACCCAAGCATACGCTTGATTATCAGTAGGTATGAGTGCTTAATTGTTCCAAACTCAATAAATAACTTGCAGCAGTCCACATTTGATTAGAAAGCTGTGGATGTGAATATTAGTCTATTAATACTGAACGATATGATTTATTAGCGACTTAATTGGCCTCCCTAATTCTCAGTTAATAAACAAAATCACTGATTCAGAACAAATGACTATATAATCAAGCAGTGAATCTTGCGCACATTTGCTACAGAACTAGCACACTGCTACTAGTGTACAAAATTAAAAGTGTAAGTTTGGTCAAATCATAAAATACTCAACACACGGGCAGGGGAGTTCAACCAGGAACTCTAGTTGATGGTAATATGAATGCATGACAATATTCAAGTTGAGAGGAGATATTCAGTATGTTGAATAGAAATGTATCAAATTATCATTAATGTGCAAATTATCCAACAAAAATATCGGGTTTATAGCAGATTAGTTAAAGTTGGAGATTCGAGCATGAGGTCATTGGACAAGGTTCATGCTCTGTATAGTTCTGAATTTTATCTGGGGAACTTAAAAGCTGGTTGATAAAAGAAAGCAATGAAAGCTGAAAGGAATCCTCCTGGAACAAACGGAGTTGTTAGTTAAAAGGTCGGTGATGGCTAGTGGTTTGTGGCTCAATTCTTTTCAGAATATAAAGAATATTTTCCCAGCTAAAATTTCGGGTTATTTTGCCCCCTAAACGAGAAGTTCAAATTTTTTAAAAATCTATATGATATGAATTTTAGTGCAGCACTTATGCTCAACTATGTGATTGTATGGCTCACTCTTCTTATGAGCTTCCATGCTCAGGAGGGTTTGGAAAAATGAATTTTCTAATTCTTTTTAAAAGGAGATTAGTATTGGTCACATGCAATACATAACCTAGCTTTCAGGACCATCTAATGCATAAACTGGTCAATAATTGTTGGATAAATTGGTCAAGAAGCATTGGATTAAGAGCCACTAACCATCTGTTAACTTCCAGTGAACCTTTTGAATGATCAGACAATAATATATGCCAAACATGATTTATTTAATATATTTTATTCTAATTCATGGTTTGTTGCAATCACTTCATTTATCAACAATGTTGGTTGATGAATTTATACATTAATTTTTCATAATTAATGTATAATACCTAAAACATTTAGTATGTGTTTTATAAGATTCAACAAATAAAATACAATTATTAGTTCATTAAGTTTCGAAGTTATATCAAGAAAAGATGCATTTGGAGAATCAAAGCCCCTCAAATGTGTACCTGGACATGGAAATCTCTGCTGCACCTCAGACCTGTACTGTAGTCAATTGCCTTGTAAAATCAAAAATTGGGGACGGATCGATCACATCTTTCTGGTCCCATAATTGGGGACGACGGATCATCCTTGACTCGAATCGTAATCCCATTTGTTCTTTCTCTGTAATTTCAGCTCTCCTATCTAGAATTTCTTGCAAGCCAAACGCATCTATTGCACTGTTGCTACACTTATCTGTGTTTTTTTGACTTCAGCAACGGATATTTTGGTATCGAAATGGGCTAGACTGTGATGTTTTGTTTGGGCTTCCACTCCTTTGTTTGACTTTTATGGATTGGGCTGGCCTGCTGGCCTTGTTATTAACTTGCCCTAATGGGCCTCCGGTCTCTGACCCTCGTAAATTTCATACATCAATATTCTTTGCTTCAGCTATCCTGCCTCTTTCATGATCCAGTAGGTATTTACGGTGCAATTATACACCTAACGAAAATAAGTTTTTGTTAAATGATATTTTTTTGCCTTTTAAAATAGAAGGCAGAGAGTTTAAGTCCCATATGAATAAATGAATATTTGAGTGTATTTTTTGTTAAGGTATAAAATATATATATATATATATATACACACACACGTCAATATATAGATGTATTCAAATTCGATCACAAGCGGCCACAAGCTCTACTTAACATGGAGGGAAAAAAAGAAAAAGAATAAAGATTTGTGAATTTTTTGTCACGGTAAACAGGGGTGCAGTTCAATGAACTAGTAGTCAAATGATTTGATGAAAGGTGCATAAAGCCTCATTCGGCAATAAGTAATGATGATCTGTAAACCATTCTTTTCTTTTTTTTTTTTTTATCATATCACCACTTAAACTTTTAAAAAGAAAAAATCTACACAAAAGTTAAAAAAAAAAAAAAAAAAAAAAAAAAATTTACTACCAAAGGCCACCTTTTTCTTTTAGTCATCTCATAAGCTGGGGATGTGGCACAAGCGAGACCAGTCACAGCTTCTAGGGAAAAAATTAATAGTGAAGACATGCCTTAATTTACTTGGATATGTATAGTAGTTCTCAGATGCTTTGAGTCAAAAAAAAAAAAATGAAGATGAAGAAAAATCCACCTTTTTCTCTCTTGAATTTATAGAGGTAAATATATATATATATATATATGAATGTAGCATTATTATGTTGTAGAAACTAGAAAGGACTACCATTGTGTTGGAATTACATGTTGTTTCACTACATTTGAATATTCTCTAGTGAGAATAAAAAAGTGTGACACTTAACTTCGGACCGGCCACATGTAAGTTGTTAATTTCATGTCTAAACAGTAGGTTTTTCTTCCAACTGATGTCCATAAAAGCACTAGGGAAACCCTATCCTTGATTTTTATCTTGGTCTTCCTCTGCTAGAATCATGAATGTGAGAGTCATAGCAGAAAGTGTTCATTATAAATAGAAGCATAATTAGCAGAATCAACAACTACATAACTGTCAAAAATCTTTAGGCCAAAAAAGAAGAAAACATGTCTTCCTGCTACATGATTCAAGAAGACGACTACGAACCATATGACGACGAAGATAAAGTCAAAGCACCATTGGTATGGGTGGGGAACTATGTTGCAGTAGCATCGCTAGTCTGCTGCATAGCAATGGCGGTGGATACCTTCAATGGGTTACGCCACAAAAACTGTGGTTTAATTCCATGCAAATTTCTCTCTCTCAATGCTACTTCTCTGACAATATTAGCTGTAGCGAGGAAGCTGCCTGTGGATCTAAGCAGCGACATGCTAGGCAAAATGGATCAGCTAGCAAAACTTAGCAGCACCACCTTCGTGTCTACAGCAATAGGTAATTTTATGCATCATTAGGAACCATGGACGACAAGACACAGAAATATTAACGAACTTAACAGCCTTGAGTATTCTCGTAATCACCATTCCTGCAAATGTCTGCATCCAATTAGGAAGTGGTATAATAATTAGATTTTTTATGGTACCTACCTATCTCGATTAGGATTATAAGTTGTCAGTCCTGTCGTTCTTTTGATTCAGGCTGTCGGGGTGGGAGTAGGTACCATTGCGCCCTTATTTGGATGGTTCATTGTCAGAAAATCCCTGTGCTCAGTAAAAAGAGGCAAGAGCTACAAAACCGAGTGGACAACAGAGAATTACTGGATAGGAATTTAGGCTAGAAGGATGGAGAGAGAGCTTCTTGGCTTTACCCATCCGTAGCCAAAAATGCAGTAAACTTGTTCACAACACGAAGAACCTCATTCTGAGCTTCTGTGTTGGAGTTCAAATTGTGATTGTCAGAGCTAGCAAATCAGTTCTACTCATCTCCATTTTCTTACTAAGCCCGATCGATGTTGTCATGTTTCCACTACTGCAAGGTCTTAAAGCACAAGCTCCTGTCCAAATCTAATGTCTCAAGCAGCTCATCTTCTTGGTGAAACTGAAGAGATTCTAGAAATCCTTCAACAGCGTGAACTTCTTAGTCTGAATCCTGATCGATCAAGCAGCTAATATCAATGAGTGTCGTGCTTTAATGAAGAAGAAAGATCCTTTTGCCTTTACTTCTTCATTCAACAATGGTTCATCTTCTTCTGGTTCTAGTGAGTTGCATTTAGTTATTGAGTAGGAGGCCTACTTGAGAAAATACAGGCACAAAATGCTACCACTGTATGATATGTACTCATGTATGAGTTTTTTTTATTTAGATATTGTATGAACTCTTAGCGTTTGAATGTGTAAAACCTATTATTAACTTGTATGTCTTAATTTAATGTAGATTTATTCTATTCTTATACACCGAGTCATTGTTTAAATATCATACGAGTTTGCTGGATTCATAGGTTGCCCCTTCCATGCATAATGCCACTCAAATTTTAGTCATCCTAAGCAGGTAGCGATGAAAATCTTACCCGAAAGCCAATTTTACCTCCATTTTAATTCTACCGGAAGCAAAAGTACGGTTTTATGGTGATTATCAGACACAACGAATCTCTTAATTGTTCCAAGCACTACAAATGACTTACCATATGTACCGTAACACTTTTGTCTTGATAAATTTCTAATAGCAAATTAAGCAGTTCACATTCGGTTAAAATGCATGTCATTATGAATACTCATTGGGTTTGTCAATCAATTGATCTGGACAAGAATGAATTCCAAAAGGGGAAAAATTCGAAAGAGGAATGAGTTGATAGCGATGTTGAACCCTTGAGAACTAGATTAATGGAGAAGGTCAATGTTCTGAATATTTCATTTGAATTTGTTGGAATCATGCATGTTCAATTTCTGAGCTGCTTGCTCCTAATAATATTATGCTTAACAGCCGATTTAACTTCCATTGTGTCTTGAGACTCTTGACACTTGTGTAACCTTTGTTTTTTTCATACACTCAGTACACCCACTTTGTTTAAAGAGGACTTACCTCGAACCAATTTTTTAAGAGTTAAGAGGAGATAATCCAAGCATATGCTTGATCGTCTACCTGAGTAATTAAGGACTAGTATGATGTACGGATTATCCGTGGATATGAGTCCCTTAATTGTTCCATGCTCAATGAATAACTTGCAGCAGTTCACATTTGATTAGAAAGCTGTCGATATGAACATTAGTCCACTAATATAGAAGGATATATATGATTTAACAATTTTGGCTCCCTAATTCACAGTTAAGAGACAAAATGGCCGATTCAGCATAAATGACCAGCTCACTGCTACTGGTCTACAAAATTAAAAGTGCAAGTTCGGTTGAATCATAGAATACTCAACGGACAAGACAATCCGTGTTTTTTTAGTTTAAATTTGTATATTAACAGATTGGAATTTTTTTTTCGAAAATTTTAAGGGTAATGATGAAAATATAACATTATTTATTTTAATTAATTTTTTAAAGAGGACAACTAATTTGAAACATTTTAATAAAACATCCTAATAGGATGAGATGGACTACTAATATGGGACACATGCATAAATTAAAATTAGGAGAAATTAATGGAAAATGATGGGAGAAAACAATGGAGAAAAAGCAAAACAGTTTAACAATATAGCTTATAAGAGACAGATGTCTCGATAGCCTAATGAGTTGGTGCTTTCAGTGAATTTTAGAGTGTCGGTCTTCGACTCTGCATCTATTAATCTAACTTCTAACCCTTATTACCTTATAGATATATATATAATATAACTCATAAGAGAAAAATTAGGACAGAATAAAGAAGCCCACAAGGACATGTTTCCAGGTAATTTAAAAATATTTTGAATTTAAAACTCGCATGCCATTTGCTGATTCATCTTGATTTAGACAATCATCTTCTATAATCTATATATGCAATTTTCATATAATTGCATCAATTCAAAGCACCTCTTTTATTTTTCCAACCAAACTCTAATTGGACCAATTCTTCACAATTAAAAAACTAAAGGTTTTTTCTCTCCAAATTGCAATGAGAGTATATTTTATATTCAAGTAGATATTCTACAATTACAGTATCTGATAGATTAGAAGATGGAAAATAATTTTTGCACCGAATAGTTACAGTGAATTGATAAACTTATTATTTTTAATTAGTTATTTATGCAACAAATAAGGGAGTGGGTCCTCCACTTAATTATATTTAATTAATGTAATTAATAACAATAAAAAAACTATTCAGTTATGCAATTCAGTGCAAGTATTCTATGTGAGCATCACTACACTTAAAAGAAATTAGTGGAAAAAGATCACGAAAAATAATGGAGAGAGGTCAATGGTTCGCTTGATTAGACAAAAATTAATGATGGAAAGTAAAAGTGAAATAAAGAATTAAGGTTCAGCATGCATTTGATTAAGTGAAATTTTTTCATGAAAGTTGTAAGAAAATATTATTTTGTCAATTTGACTGACATGAAAGGAAAAAGAAAATGATTCTGATTACCAAAATTACTCTTATGATTTCAAATGTTAAAATAATAAATGAATTTGTGTTAGATAAATCCTCTTTATACCCAATTGTTTAAATCTATTTTTAGAGCTTAGGGGAAAAAAATCTATTTTTAGCAACAAAAATAGTAAAATGATGGATTATTAAAAATAATATTACAATTATTTATATCTATTTAAAAAAAAAAATTATATTTAAAGAAGGGATAATGATTTGGATTCTAAAAGTTGGGTCCGATTGACTTATGTGAGTAGGGGATGATGTCATCATGATGTCATTAATATTGTTGATGTCATGATGACATCATCCCCTACTTACATAAAATTAATTGAATTTGTCTGAGTGTCCGACTCTTCACCATTATTATTTTTTGCTAGTTTCTATAATTATTCAATATTTGTAAAATCACATGTAAAATACTCAAATTAAGATAAGAAGAGATTAATTTTCTTTTCAATAATGTGTCTTCTAAATTATTGTCTTATATAAAAGTTTATAAATAGTTAAACACATAAAATCATCAACTAATGAGGGACATAATAGAAAAAATTGATTCGCTAAACAATTGAAAAATTAGGAGAAAAAAGAGAGGAGGATAAGGACTATGTTTTCAAATCAATTTGTTTATTATCTTGATTTGGACAATCTTCCTCTATAATACATCTATGCAATTTTCATATAATTGCACCAATTAAAAATCACCACTTTCTATTGCTCCAACTAAACTTTAATTGGACCAATTCTACCGGAATATATATATTCACAATCAAAAACTTTAGTTATCTTCAGAAATGTCAGGTTTATAACGCCAGGCAGCTTCCAGGAAGATTGATTGAAGTTGTTGAACCACACTTAACATCATTTATTCTCCCTCCTCACTCTCTCTCTATATATATTATATTATCATTCACACGACAACAACTACAACCCAAGCTGTTCCATTTTTGAAAAAAAAAAAGTCCGTATGCGATGATTACTATTACTCGCTCCCCTCTCTCTCTCTATATATATATATATATATATATATATATATATATATTATCATTCACACGACAACAACTACAACCCAAGCTACTTACCCCCAAAAAGAAAAAAAAAAAAAACTACAACCCAAGCTGTTCCATTTCCGGAAAAAAAAATGCCCGTATGCGATGATTACTATTACTCTCTCATCTTTCTATATATATTCATATATTATCATCCACATGACAACAACTACAACCAAGCTGTTCCATTTTCGGAAAAAAAAAAATGTCCGTATGCGATGATTACTATTACTCGACGAGGCAAGGGCCGTACATCCTGCTAGGGGAACGGAACCCCCTGACTTGCAGTGACTTATATGTTATCAGTCAGGGCTGCTGCTTGGACCACGTAAGAAACAGTCGATCTGAATCACCATTGCCATGGATCGGCATCTATGTTGCAGTGGCATCTCTAGTCTGCTCCCTTGCAATGGCTGCTGATGTCCTCCAAGGGTTTCGCCACAGAAAACTCTGGTTTCCATGTAGATTTTTTACTCTTAATGCCGCTTCCCTCACATTATTAGCTGTAGCAATGAAGCTGCCGGTGGATCTGAGTAGCCGAATGCCAACCTCTATAGATCAGGTGGCGAAACTTACCAGCACCGCCTTCATGTCTACAGCTATAGGTAATTTTATGCCATCTTTAGGAGCTATGGATGACAAAGAACTTTTCATGAACATAACAGCCTTGGCTATTCTGGTCATTACCATTATTGTTAATATATGCATACAGTTCAGTACTCGAGTAATAAATTATTTTCTCATGAGGGAACACATCGCGGTTCTGTGCTTCATGTTTGTTTTGCTTGTAGTGTCGAGCTTCGCAGCTTTGACGGTTTCCACTACTAAGAAGTGCTTTCAATTGAAGTATGATGATATACACAAAATAATTTCGCGTGAAGAATCAGAAGAAACCAAAAAGTTCATAATTGAAAAATTGAAAGTAAATCTAAAAAAGTACTGGATGATGGCAAAATTCGGTAGTCCTCAGTTCGTTATGGCTCGTTCAGTTCACTGTCATGCTTCTGGGGCAATTTGTTGCTTCGCTACATTGACTCTCGCAGAAGTACACCTCATCATGTTTTTTTACGGCGATAATATAAGAAGAAATTTTTACGGCGATCACTCTGACTATATTGATCCACACAACGTTGGATCAAGTTATAAGTGGTCAACCTTTGTTGTGTTTGTGATTCAGTCTTTTGGGGTGGGAGTAGGTACGATTGCCCCAGCATTTAGATGCTTCACCGCCATAAGATTAATGTGCTCAGAGAAAAGAGTCAAGAGCTACAAAGCCGAGTTTAAAATAGAAAATTATTGGATAGAAAGGCCAGTAGGGTGGAAACAAAGTCGCTTAGGTTTACGAGTTTGGGGCCAAAAATGCAGAAGACTTGTTCATAACACAAAGAATTTAATTCTAAACTTTTGTATAAGAGTTCAGATTGTGATTGTCACAATTAGCAAATTGAATCTGCTGATATCTGTTTTCTTAATAAGCATGTTCTTGACATTTGGGCACTCGTACAAGGTGTTAAAGCAGAAGCTCATATCCAATCATACTGCTTCAAGCAATCAAACAGGATCAGAATGTACAGAACTGGATCTCAGCCATTATGTTTTGTATCTTGAAGGCGAGGAGGAACTACCCATGCAGATTATGAAGGACAACATCGATGTTGTTAATCGTTTTATTCAGAAGGGTGAAAAGCAGAGGCCTAAATATTTGAAAGAGCTTTTAGAAAAATCTGCTGCTTTCATGGGAGTGGCAAGGTTTGACAGTGACAAAGTTCCTTCTCTAGATATGAAAGAACCTCCTAATTGTTGGTCTCTTCCTGTGGTTACTCTTACAAGTATTGCCATATCACTTCCAAACATTGAAGAACACAAGGTGTAGTGGTTGCTTCGAAGTGTGAGTGAAGGCCTCTTGTTTGCCAGCCTTGTAGAAAAATTCTTGAATGCCGAAAGTGATACGGTAAACATTAGAAATGCAGCAGACAAGGTGTGGTTAGGAGTTGATCTTTTTCAGAAGTGGCTAGATGAAGATCTCCAAAAAATCGCTCTTGAAGGAAACAACTCAATGGAGACTCTTGCGAAACTAGCTGACATAGCTAAAAACAGTGTCATTGAGTTCAAGGCAAACGCGAATGGAGATTTGAAGGAGAACCCTCTGAATTGGCCCATCAAGGTTATTGCTGCAAATTCAATGTATAGAATCAGCCAAACTATACTGCAGGACCACGAAGGCAGCAATGACCAAACTGATGAGACACTATTCGGGCAATTATCTGTTATGATAGCCGATATATTGGGTGCTTGCCTCACCAACTTACCGCATGCCATAGCTATGAAATGTTTTTGGAGTGCCATTGAAGAGAGGGAGAAGAGCGTCCAACGTGCTGCTCAACTACTTGGTGAAACTGAAGAGATTTTGAAAATCCTTCAACAGCATGAGCTTCCCAATCTGAACCCTGAGAAAGAGGCTTATATTGATGAGTGGCGTGCAATAATCAAGCAGGAAAATCCCCTGGCTTTCACTTCTTTAATCAACGATGTCACAGCTTCTTCTGGTTCTGGCGAATTGCAGATAGATATTGAATAACAGGCCTGCTTGAGAAGAACTAGCATATAATTATGTAGTTGTATGATGTCTTTTTAGACCATTTCCAATATTAAAAGTCATTTTCACATAATTTATATTTTGACAGGTATTATAGTGTCAAAATGCTACATTTTAGCAATTTTGTTCCAATGGTACATTTCATACAAAATGCTATTTTTTGACACAACCACCATTCTTTTTCAACTACCATTCCCACCATTCATATTTGCATCAATAATATTAATATTAGACACATTCCAAGTCAAGTCGTAGACCTTCAAAGGAAACTAAAATTAAACCTAATTAAAAAGAAGCAAAAATATAAAATATCTGGTTAAAAAGGACTCAAAAAAAAAAAAAAAAAAAAAAAAAGATAAAACAAAATAATATATATATTTTTAAAAAAAATTTTCGAGAATTTATATATATATATATATATATATATATATATATATATATATATTTGATTATATTATTATTAAAAAAATAAAATATTTGAATAATAATTATTTCAGCCTTCCCAATCGCCTCCATCTCTATTCTCGTTCTCGACTCTAAACAGAGTGTTTGTATTTTATTTAGCTTGTTTGCCTTATTAAAAATAAATAAAAATATTTGACCTTTTTTTTTTTATTATGCATGGCTCATCCTTCAATCAGATTATCTTGCCACGGTTTATGTAACTTATGTTCACAAATTACTATATTGCTATATTTTTTTGTTTTATTTTTACTGAGAACTAAGAAAGATCCAAAGAGAGTAGTACTATAGAAGAGCCAAGGTTTGGCATTAAGTCACTGATTTGTGTGTTTTTCTTTGTATAAACAATAACTCGGCAGGGCAATTATATACAATTTGAGAGTTCGAAATGCTTTGTAGAGAGCCTCAATAATAATGTAACTACTCACAATTATATTTTTGTGCAAATAATGAGGAAAAATAAATTGGTCTTAATCACTCTGTTCTTGCTTGTATTCTAGATTAATATCAACATGAAAACACACTAAGCATGATTGTTTTTTTCAATTTCATATTATTGAAAATGTTGTTTAATAATTTTTCCTTTACCAATATATATATATATATATATATATATATATATATATATATATGTTTAGACCTCTTAAGTACAAATACATATATTCAGAAGGTATATATATCCAATATTTAAGAGGCCTAGAAGGCCAAGAATATCACAAGATGCTTCTAGGTTATATATATACATATATATATATATAACTTTTTTGAAAGAAATTTTTTTTACCCATTTGATAGCTATTCTATGCGAGCAACATACATGGTGTAAAATTGGACCCGGTCCCATCTTTTTTGCAGCCCCAGCCCATATAGCAATTGCTATTTGTTTTGCTACAATTGGCATAAGAAATAACAAAGTTAAAAGTAGCAGTCCAAATAGTATTGCATTGGAGAGCCCATTTTTAAGCCCACCTGCTATATTTTAAATTGGCAGCCCAAATGAGAGCCCCATTGGAGATGCTCTTACGAGTTCCCTTTATTTAGATTTTGTATGAATTATCAGGTTCAATTTTGTAAAAGCATCTTAATTAACACAGCTTTGTTTAGTGATAATTTGGAATATGTGTGTGTGTGTGTGTGTGTGTGTGTGTGTGTGTGTAGCATTCATATGGACCATATGGTGAAGTCCAGTGTTTAGACATCATTTGAATTTGCTGCAGCATCATAGAGCAACTGTTTCGCATGACACACAAATATTAGTCATCTGAGCAAATGATTTTTCTTGAAAATTTTAACTTGAAGAGGCCATTCTACTTGTATTTTATTAGGGAAGGTCCTTGATGCCCCTTGTATTACTATTGAAGACCTAAAAGTAATTATAACATGAAAACTTTTATTTATGTAATGAAGCAACTTTGAATTGACAAGTTAACGAAAAATAAAATTGGTTTTTATTCATAGTAATGAAGAATTTATTTTACTACTGCCAATCGATGTCAAGGAAAATTGAACACCATAAGAAAATCTAAAAAGAAATTCAAAAATGTCGTTCATTCTAATAACTATGAAAAAAAATAAATAAAGAAAGAAATAAGAAATGAAACCTAATCACTAAAAATATCAAAAATCAGCCTAATTAGAATTCAATTCGAGCACTAAGACAGTCCTCGACTAAAGACTAATTTTAGGACCTAAAAAATCGAATTTAGCCCCCAAAAAATATATGTCACGAGCTTAACTGGTAAGTATTATTGTTGGTCAGACTTTGAACAGAAATGAGTCTCTTCGAATTAAATTAGATTTGTCAAAACTGTTTTAAAAAATTTACTTATTTGGCTACCAATAGTGCAAACAGACTCCACAATCATCAACAACACGTGAATTATGTCATTTTAGCAGGGAAAGAGTTTTTCTCTGAAGAACTATGTTTCGAGAAATATACAAAGGAGTTTCATTATAGCAGCAGGACTTCAAATATATATATTTTTTTAAAAAGGGATCACTAGTCGTCCATCATTATTCTAATTTACGAGAAAAACTGTTATAGAACAGTTAGATAATAGTGACAACTATTATCTTGATCTGTGTTACAACTGGCCCTTCATTTTGATGCTTTGTGGTCAACCATTCAACTCCAGTGAAAGTTCCAAAAAAATCTATTATGATTTTTGGCCAACCACTCTAACTTGGCTCTTCTAAGTTTGCTTCATATCTCCAAAAACAAAAGGTATTTTTCCAACTGATGTGGAGACAAACACTAGGCAAAATCTACTTTATTTTTATTTTGGTCTTCCTCTGCTTCACTTATGGATGTCACACTCACATCCTCTACAGCTGCTATATATATATATATATATATATATATATGGGGCAAAGTACAAAACTCCTCCTTATCTATTCTTTTACCAAGAACCCCCCTCGATTTGTACCTTTTTTTTCAATAAATCCCTCTTTTCTAATTTTTTACCAAATAACCTTCCTCAACTATTTGGAGAGGATAAAAGAGTTAATATTTGAAACAAAACGCTCTTTTATTTAAAAATTTAATTCTCCTGAATTTCAAAATTTCATATCTCACAAATCATACATTTAAAAATTGTAAATAATATATGCACAGAAAACTTATGAAATAAATATTCCAGAAATATAAAGTTTATATAACAAACCTTTCATAACCAAAGAGAAATAGGCAATCTAAAAATCTACTCCAATAATCTTATTTTATTTTTAAAAAATAAAATATTTGAGATTTTTGTAATAAAATTTTCAAAATTATTCATTTACATATGGAACTGAATATATAAAAATTTAGCCCCAACATAGATTGATTTAGTGAGATATCATATTTTGCGTCAAAATATTTTCATTCTTTAATAGACTCACTATTTAAAAAAAGATAAAGTATAGAAAACCCCCCTCGACTTATAGTTTTTTTCAATAAACCCCCCTCGTTTAATTTTTTACTAAAAAACCCCCCTCGACTTGTCTCCCTTTCCAATAAATCTCTCTTGTCCAATTTTTTACCAAATAACCCCCTTAACTATCTAAAGGGTGTAAAAGAGTTGATATTTGAATCATAATATCCTTTTATTTAAATCTTAATTTTCTCGAACTTCAAAAATTCATATTTCACAAACCGTACATCCAAATATTGAAAGTAATATATGCACGGAAAACTTATCAAACAAAGATTCCAGAAATATAAGATTTGTTTAACGAAACTTCATAACCAGAGAGAAATAGATAATCTAAAAATCTACTGCAACAATTTTATTTTATTTTATTTTTTATAAAATACTCGGGTTATTTGAAAGAAAATTTTCAAAATTATTCACTTTCATATGGAGCATAACATATAAAAAAAATTAGCCCCAATAGAGACTGAATATTCATTTTTATATTTTTTTTAAATGGCGAGTCTATAAAAGAATGAAAATACTTTGACGCAAAATATGATATCTCATGAAATTGATCTCTGTTGAGGTTACTTTTTTTTTTATATATTTGGCTCCATATGTAAATGAATAATTTTGAAAATTTTCTTGCAAATATCTTGAGTATTTTATTTATTAAAAATAAAATAAGATTGTTGGAGTAGATTTTTAGATTTCCTATTTTCTATTGTTATGAAGGTTTGTTATACAAATCTTATATTTTTGGAATCCTTATTTTATAAGCTTTCCGTACATATATTATTTATAATTTTTAAATATACAGTTTGTGAAATATAAATTTTTGAAGTTTGGGAAAATTAATATTTAAATAAAAGGACATTTTGAGAGAATTAATATTTAAATAAAAGGACATTTTGGTCCAAT